TTGATTGTTTAAATAGGCGCAAGATATTTAACAATTTTATGATTAATTAATTGCGTAAAAACGTAAAAACCACACGGTTAACAAGAAAGACTGTGAAAACAACAGAAAGATTTCATCACAATTATTAAATTGTCATTTTCAATATATTATAGTTACTTTTTTCTTTTAGTTTAATTTCTAGAAAAAAGAAATAGATAGATTAAAAGAGCGTATAATATGGAATTCTGTCGATTCTAATAATGCAACTTATATAATAATTAATTTTGATTAATTTGGTTACCTTTTTATTATATTCTTAGCTTATATAGTACCGGCTATTATTTGTAGATCGATAGTTCCATATAATGAAAATTATATGATTATAACAGTAAATCAATGTTAGTAGAAGCCTCTTATTTATTGTATTATTTATTACAGTAATTGACAAATGTAACTTTTATAATTGGAATAAGCAAAATACATAATATATTAATTCTTTTTTCATTTAGGTTATCGCAGCTGCGTCAATGATGTGTTCTGTGCCGGTTTGACGGTACAAGCTTATATGTCCAAATTTCGTCGAGTAAGTTCAATGCTTACATTTAGATTTCAACTTAGCTTTGCTAATTTATAATACTTAATATATTTTAATTTAATAGGATTGCACTGGAAATGGAATAATTGACTGCAATGATTATGTGCGTCTTCATCGGTTTGGCGCAAGTGGCTGCACTAAGTCGTTACACAAAATTTATGAGAGGATGTACAAAACATGTATAGAAGTTTTTGAAAAAGAAAATTGATGTTCTAAAACTCATTTTTTTTAATTTTTACTTTTGCGATTTTTTCGCGATCGGGGATTCGCTGTAACCTCAGCGCATTTAATCGGTTGTCGAATTCATAGTTTTCGCTCTTTGAAGTAAAAACAATTACTGAACATATTTCAAACATTGTAGAACATTATAGAAATACAGCAGCTTGCGAGAGAGAGAGAGAGAGAGAGAGAGACGCTGTATTTCTATGTTCTACAATGTTTGAAATATGTTTAGTAATTTTTTATACTTAGAGGTGAGATCACGCGAAAGAAAATAATTAAACAATAGAAAGATGAATAAAACATGTGTGTTACATTACAACCTAATAACAATTATGTATATACAATAATAATATACATAACATAATAGCAATCCATCCATTATGTAATATATGTAGATATGTATCCGTATATAATAGAAGATTTATTGTGAATTTTTATCAAATATTTCAGATACAATCATTTAGCAACTTAAGGATATCATTGTTTTTAATTTGGTCTATTATAAATTTCATCCAGTACAATTTTACGTATTAACATTTGAAATACAATAAATATTTCAATGATTCCGTTATTTCAGTGAAAAACGTTCTATAAAAAATTTGAGAAAACTTTTCACCAAAAGGGAAAGTGTTTTTGTCGCAAATGCTGTATTATCTTGTATTATTTTAACTTACCTAAATATTTATGCAAAGTAACTGTATCTGTTTAAAATAATAATCAGTCTTATTTCTGCTAATATAAAAAGAAAATTTATAACAAGTTTTAAAATTTAGAAAATTTAGGAATTTTAATTAATGCGTTCTTCTCATTATAATCTCTTGATTCTTTACAAAATTTTCAAGTTTTTATTTTTTAAATCGTCAAGAAGAAAATTTAAGGAATTTTTAAATTCTTAAAAATTTTCTGCTTCACAATCCTTAAAATTTTGTTTAGTTTAATTTATTACTTTACTTTTTGAGTAAATATAATTATTAATAGCACTGTTAATTAATACTCTTTTGTTTTTTATTTTTGAATTTTTATATATATATTGATACATGTCATACGCGTGCTAATGTTATTAATATTATATTTTCATTGCCAATTCCGCTTTACGAAACGATACCAAATAATATAATAAATATATTATAGTAATTGCATACTATAATATTAATTATAATGTAATCCTGTAATAAATATATACATTAAATTACAATTAAATACATTGTATACTATAATACAATATATAATATTATATACTTTTGTTATAATTTAATCCACGTTATAAGGATATTTAGAAATAGAAAATATTTACATTAAAAGTTAATATTTAAGTATTGATTTAAAATGGATAAATTATCAAAATGTACCATTGTACCGACATTTGTAGAAAGCAAGAAATTATATTCAAATATTATATAAATCTATTATTTTCTGTAAATATAATAAATAGAAATTTCTATTATAATTATTGTTTATCCATATTATAAGTAAATGGTATTTTTTGAATTGTCAGATACAATTTTTACAAAATTATTTATTATTTGAATACTTACAAAGACTATAAATACATTTTATAATACATATATAAATTTAAAAAAAATACATTCTATATATGTATTAATTATTATAAAAACATCGGTTAAAATGTAAGTTTTGACTCTCGTGTACTTAAAAGTTTATCTACCCATTCTGCTCGTTTCTTCAATAGTTCACTATGCTCTTGCAAGTTTTCAGCAGCACAAATATTTTTTACAAGAAAATGACTTATAAATAATCTAAGACTTTCCCTGAAAGTTTGCAATTTTGGGGACAAAGATATTTTTCCAAACACTTCTAAACAGGCCTCCTCATTCTCGTGTAATAATATTCCCAGCATGATTTGTCGTACAAGCCTCATGGTTAATTTGTCCAATTCCGTAAACTGGATCACCTGTATTTATTATGTGTGATAAATATAACAACGATAAACATTATACATAGGTAAAAATAACTATAAAAGCTAATATAAAAATATATACCTTTAAAATGGAAAGAGGAAGACCTTTGCCTAAGAATAGATGAGTTAAAAATTTTGCCAGATTTGTTAACTGTTTTGTATTTAAATCATCCAATGTCTTCAATTTATCCCACAATGCATATTGTATAGTTAACTATAACATTTAACCAAGATTAATCATTAGAATACACAGACAAAAATATTTAAAAAATATACCGGTACGTCTAGAAATCTTTATGCAAATGTTCATTCACAAACTCGGTATCCCTGCATTCTCATCAACAATACAGGACAATGTAATAATACCAACGTAAAATAATATATAGAAAGTAGTCGTATACAGAGCTTTCTTACCGATCTCTCTATTTATTAAATGCCAAATTGTTGTTAGAAAAATCCGATTCTCTTTTATTACTAATTAATTTTTTGTATTGATTTTTTTCATTCAGCTAATTCAAAGCACAGCTAACCATTTAATGAACAGTTCTTCATACCGCAGATTACAAAGACGCAACTTTATGTAAGTATATAAAATTATATTTACGCACCTGATATTTTCTGTCACAATCACACAGCCTTTGCGCCAATACACCATAATAAGGATTAAACTTTTTCTCTTGAATGCAGCAATTAAGGATAACATAAATCACTTCTCTTTGTTGTTGATTTTTTAAACCAAGATGATGAAGTTTTTCAAACGCGTCTAAATAATCTTCAGCTGTCATAAGTACGCAAAAGATATCTCTTCTAACATCAGTATTCATTCTCTGTTTTCGTGCCAACTCCAAAATATCTTCACTATATCTTTGTTTTTTATCTTCTGAATTTTTTTCCAATTTACCAATATCCTTAAGACCGGACCAGGCTGATCCTACTATCCACCACTTTCCTCTTTCATCCGCTAAAAGATAAAAATATATAATATAATCTTATATTTTAAGACCAACTTATATTTTTCAATTATATATGTTATTTTCTATACCTTCTACTAAATCTTCTAAAGTTACATTAAACTGCGTAACACTATTGCCCTTATGGATAAAATTCTTCAGAATTTTCTTCAAATGTTCTATCCGAAATGGATCATACTGTGGTATTTTGCTCATATTATTATTTTTTATTGCCAGTAATATATCTAACATAAATTTAACTCTTGAGCTATAAAAATAACAAAATATATGTAATATACATAAAAAAAAACATAATATTGTACATATAAAAATATATGCATACATACAAATTAATAATTATAGATTTACAATTATAATTAGGGAATAAATAGTAATTAAGTAGGGAAAATAATTTAGAATAAAATATGTCTTTGCTTAGTGCAAATACAGTATTTACATATAAGATTTACCTTTCCAGAGTAGTATTATTTGCCTTTTGTTGCAAATTTAATACAAGTTCCTTCAAAGCAACTGGATCATCTTTTCTTAATTGAAAACCTACTGTTCTTAAAATCAATAAAATCAGTTCAATTTCCTTCTCCGTAAATTTTGCTGCTAGTTTCTCCAATATTTGATACAAGAGACAATGACCATATACCTAAAAAAAAAACAAAAAAATAGAATCATAAATATTCTGCAATAATGTAAAAGGCAGTATTACTGATAATATTTTAATTTTACCTTGAAATTATAGAGATGTGAAAGCACAAGTATTATGTTATCTAATTCCTTATTCTCAACACAATGAGATTCTTCCAACATATGGTGGAGTTTTTTTACAACAGTCAGCAAGAAATGTGCGCCAACTTCTGTACCAACATTTGCATGTAGTATAGCAATTAACATCATATGTTCACAGATAAGTCGATCTGGAGTTAATATTGGCGCAATTAAACTTTCCATCATCAGTTTGGATAACATTACATTCATATCGTTACGACTGTTTGACATATACATTTCTTCTACCTAAATTAAAAATATTAAAATAAATTGTCAGTGGCAAATAACATTATTTCTAATAAAAATATAATTTAATTTCTGAATACAAATTCATTATTTAGTATTTCTATATATATTTTATACATATAGATTTTTAGTATTTCTACAGGATGAATAATTAAATAATGTAAAAAATTTTAAACAAATTCTTCAGAAAAATTCAAGATAAAAACTTCATATGTCCAAAACGGTTTAGTTTCAAAGGTACAAAGTGTCAAAGTTGAAGGGAAAATTTTGCTTTTTTCAAAATCTTTGAAAACTACTCTGGTTATTTTGATGATACATACACAAAGTTCCATCAAAATAACCTGTTTTCAAAATTTATATAAATATATAAAAATAAATTTTCTTTGAACTTTGAATGAAATTTTCTTTCAACTTTGACAGTTTATATCTTTGAAATTAAGCCATTTCGGACATATGGAGTTTTTATTTCGAATTTATAAGAAATTATCCCTTAAAATCTTTTATATTACTTACAATTAGTATCCATGCTGTATATTCTATATATATTTCTATATATTTATACTTATACATATATATTTCTATACAGCTAAATATATAGCGTATATGTGTTAATAATTAATTACCTGATTTGCAATCGTATGCATATTTTGTTCTGCCAATCTGTTTAAAATACCTTTCATTTGTTTTTTTATTCTACTAACTTTTTCGTTATCAGAAGAAATATCATTTGTAATGCGTACAGCAGGTGGTACATATTTCTTTGATACAATATTGCCCTCTTTGTCTCTTTGCCTGCCATAAATGTCTTCCCATAAGCCTTCATTATCATCTGACTGCTCTGATGCGTTACTGTGATTCAACTCTTCATTCGCTGTCTCATCCTCCTCATCTGTTGCACACTTTTTAGCTTTGATGTTTGTTTCTTCTAAAGAATCTTCTTCACTATCATCTTGAATTAAATTTTCATCAGACAAAAGACTTTCATTTTCTGACTCTTGCTCAGACTCTTCATTATCATCTGTACTATCTTCCTCATCATGTTCATGTTTTTCATGTTTATTCTCAATATCGTCCTCACCAATAGCCATGTTCAAGTCCTCTTCCAATTCTCTACTCAATCCAGTTTCTAACAATTGCTTCTCAGTTTCAACTATGTGACTTCTATTCTCGGAATCACAGAAATCCAAGAGATCTAATTAAATGTTAAGGAACTGTATGTGAATGATTTAACAAAACAATTTTAGCACATATATATGAAAATCTCAATTTAAAATATAAAAACATAAGCTAACAATTTATAAGAATAATTTCCATGAGAAAACCCAATGATATTTTAATAGAACTTTATACAATAATGATATTAGCGTTTTCCGACCGAGTGGATTTGATTGCTCCAAAAGCGACAATAATGACATTATATGCTCTAGTTTAGATTGAACGAGAAGAGCATGTGACATAATTAACCACTCTCGAAGCTCGATCTGAAAACGCTATATGTATTTCTTAAAGATATATACATATATATATATATATATATTACTATAATTAACATTATAAATTTATTTTAAATTATATTTGGAATAAATTCATTAATTATTCTTATAAATTTATACAAGCATAAGAGAGCTATATAGAATATATCATTTAATTACAATTGACTTTATTCGATTTCCTATAGAGCTATAATTAACTTCTGTACAGTATAACATCATCTTATAATACATATTATATACACAATACATACTCCCTTTAAATTAAATCTATTCTATGACACATGCATACACATGCTCTAACATTCTATTTAGCTCTATTCTGTTCTGACTTTCATTAAGTACTTAAAATTTTAAAAAAGTCATTCATTTCCATAATCAAAAAATCAAGATATTTATCCTCCTCCTTTCCTCTAAATCACTTTGTTTTTTAACTCTATATAGAATAAAAGAAAAATTTTAATTAACAAAAAAAGTTTCTAGCGCGATAAGTAAATAAATTGTCAAGGATACAATCTAATCCATCTGATACGAAGGATTTTGGAGTAGATTTGGTCTTTCGTTTGTTCAACTTCAATTGCTTTTCCAGCTGTTTAATCGTCTTGTCCTCCTCTAGATTGGCTCGCTTCAACTGTACCATCCTTTGCTTCTTCGCATTCTTCTGCATTCTTTCTTCCTTCGTATTTTTAGGCTTCTGTCGTTTCTGCGTTTTCTGCGTCGACGGCACTTGTCTAGTGTCATCTTTTTCTTTTATTTCCGTCGACTTATCACCGCCAGTTCTCGATAACGCCAAAGTTTTTTCTGACTGATTTTTCGACTTTTTCCTTTGATAATACTCTGCTCTACTCATCTTCTTCCGTTGCCTTTTCTCCTTACGCAACTGCTTACGTGTTTTCTGTATTGATTTAGATTTGTTGTTGATCTTGCTCTTGGCGTTCAGTGTACCTTTACGCTGAACACGTCCCATTTCGTAGAAAAGTTTAATGCTCAATTAAAAAGTTAACTCAAAATATCGCCGCTTATGACATATATCATCGGATATATATTATAATAATGCAATATAACAATAAAAACAAATATAACGAGATCACGGAACACTATAACCTCAAATTCCACTCGCAGAACATGTGACAACGTACGTACACGACACACGTGCGTGCGCCAGATTGCGAGGTGCTCACTGCTCACTGCTCGTACATGCGCAGTAAAGTGAGCGTTAGCAGACGCTATAGTCCCGTATCGGGATTCTCAAACGCTTAACGACGATTGTTGGCATCGTTGCGCAGCCTTTCTTATATAGCATTATGATATATTAATTATATACATATATATAAAACTGTGCAACGATACCGACAATCGTCGTTAAGCGTTTGAAAATCCCAGTACCGGTCTGTAGGTATAATAAGCGTTAATCCGCTCGGAAAATCGATCACACAGTTGAATGTGAGTTAAGAATATAATTAATTATGGTTGGTCAATTTCTTACGGCTTAAAGATTAATTTTACTAATTAACCAATCAAAGAATGCAAAATACCTAATTGTTATCAAATAAAATTATTTGTACCAAGTGAACGTAACCTGTCATAGCCATAGTCATTACACTGTTGATGTCGATATTAACTATATTTTTATCGCAGAATTTATTTATATTATTTTTAATAAATAGTACTATTTACTTACCTTTAACTTATTCACTGAAAAAAAATACACACCAGGTGTTATTAAGATTCAGCATTTAAATTATTATTGTATTGTAATTTTTGTCTGACAATGAAATCCTCGAACTCCTTACGCAAATAGAAATTATTCTCGTATTCCTTCCCAGCAAAAATCAACTAAACGCTAACATAACTATTAGTTATATACGGTCTAAAAAGTAAAATGTTAACAGTATGCTAACAGTTTGTTAGCAGATTCAAACAGAATATTGTATGAGACTGACTTCAAGCTTGCATTGCGTCAGCATTAACATTCTGCCAGCAGATATAATCTGCTGTTATATCTGATATCAGAATTGTTAGCTATCATGGTTGACAATTAATTTATAGACTAATAATATTTGTAGACTGTAATTAATATTATAACATTTAATATAAAATGTTAATATAAAATATGAAAATGATCTTTAATGCAAAACTCATTAAATAGAATCACCTGCACTATATATGTTTATTAATAAAATAACATATTTTAAAATGTTATTAAGTTAAACTGTAATCAATACAAAATAGATATACTTCTTGTAATAAATGGTTCGTTTTTATTCTTTTCAAATATTAAAATCAATACTGAAGAATTAATCTTTTTAAATTTGGAAATACTCTGAGTAAATAAAAAAATACACAAGTTTTAATATTCGTATCAATTGTTTGTTTTATGATGTGATTTGCCTCTTGACTTGCATCAAGAGACTGAAGATTAGAAGTTTTTTTTATTTTTAAGTTGTCTATAATATTCTGAAAATAATTAGATTTTCCATTGTCTAGCAAACCTTCGATAAAATCGAAATATATATGGGTTGAGAATCAAACATGAGATCTGCAATTTTCACACAAAGCCATGTGTCATCTCTAATTTCAATGTAAACGATTTGTAAAAAAAATATATATATATATTCATATATATAAACGACAAAGCAAAATATTTGTACAAAATTGATGTTTTCGATAAATTTAAAAAATTTTAAATCTACATTTAGTTTACTTAGTGTTATTTTTATAGATCTAAATTAATTTTACTATCTTTTTCTTTAAAAAGAAATATTTGAAACACAATATAACTCCAATGAAAATTCAGAAAAAAGACAAAAGCAAAATTCTTATATTTAAAAAATATAAATATAGAACTAAAAAAGTATAAATCTTAAATAGTTAAATAAACATAAAATGTTCATAAAATTATGATACAAAGCTTATAAGATATAAGGTATATTATATGTAAGGCATTATTAAACGGTAAACAATTCTTGTTAAATTTTTTTTTATGAGAAAAGCATATATATTACAACATATACATTACTTTTTCCCAGCTATAATGATACCATCATATTTCTGTTGGAACCACTTCATGGCATCCTCTTTTGTAAGACGGTGTTGAAAACCAACTTTACCAGTCTTTCTTCTTCTGTGCGCTACATTGAATCCTACAAATCAAATACACATTTACTAACATACATATACACATATTCATATGTAAAAACTTTTACATGTGCGTGTGTGTGTAAATCTTATCTTTTTATTATATTAACATAAATATATATAAATATCTAATAATTAAAAGTTAACTTCAACCAAGTAACACATTCAAATGAAAGGCTATCAATTTTAGGTAATAAAAGACAAACAGACTAGAGCTAAATAGAATGCTAGCGCATGTGTCATAGGGTAGATTTAGTCTAAAAGAAGTATATATTGTATGTATAATATGTAAGATGATGCTACACTGTACAGTTAATCATAATTTTACAAAAAATTAAAGTCTATTGTAATCAAATGGTATATTCTGTATAGCTCTCTTATGTTTGTATAAATTTAGAAGAATAATTAATAAATTGATTTTATACATAATTAAAAATGAATTACAAATGTCAAACATTTTTTTAAACATATTTAATTTACATATGTAAATATTACCACAAAATTGTATAAATTTATAAGAATAATTAATGAATTGATTCTATACATAATTTAAAATGAATTACAAATGTCAAACATTTAAATATATAAATATTACCAGGAAACAAGAACATATCTATGTACAAGAATATCAGAGTAGAAAATCGTTTATAATATACATATGCTGATATTCTGCATGCAATTAAAATTTATGCAATTATTACCAACCTGGACGTCCAAGTACAACGTAGAAGTCTAAGCCGTAGATACCGATGCTGGGGTCATATTTGATTCCCAGGTCAATGTGCTCCTGAATGCCGAAACCAAAGTTTCCAGTGCCAGAAAAGTTTTCCTTTTTTAACTCATATTCGCGTACCTGTAACCAAATCACACATTAAGATTACAATAGTAGCACAAGTCACATATGTAAAGCCCCTTCTACATAAGTCGCAAAAGCACAATGCAGAGAAAAAAAAAAGGAAGAGAGAAACGTCGGCGTTTGCAACTTATGTAAATGAGTCTTAAAGATTCTTTATCTCACCTTAAGGCCACGTTCCAGAATCTCCTCAGCCTTGGCGCCACGCACAGTACAATGCACAGCTATTTTTTCGTTACGACGAATGCCAAATGAACGGACTGTATATCGAGCTTTGGAAAATACCGGTTGCTGGCCAGTCAGTTGTTCCAAGACCTAAACAATACGAAAAATTATTTATAATTTTAAAGATTCAAATGTATCAGATATTTCAATTGAAATAAAAAGTTAACATGCTTATAAAATCCACCTTGGCAGCGCGGGTCAAGCGATCACCAGACTCGCCTACGCAGATATTCAGGCATAACTTCCGTATTCGGACTTCACGCATTATATTCTTGGACGCATCCTTCGGCTCCTTTTTCGTCTTCTTATCGATCTTCTTTTTGATCTTTTCCTCGGGCGCTTTCTTTACGTCCTAATTAGTTAAAGCACAATTATTAACATCCACGTTGGTACATTATAAACCTAACCTGTACCATCATTGCAGATCCATCAACATGGATGAAACATATTTTTAATAAATTATTTATTTTGCTATCAATAAATAGGAAGAAAAATAAATAAATGAATCAAGAAGTTATTATTGTTGTGCAAATTTAATAACGGCAATATGTTATATACGAGTATAAAACAAGCGTGAAATCTCGTCCACGTGACACAGGGACAACGTCAAATGGACAGCTTTAATAGAAAAAAATTAATATTCTCGATGATTCGTAATATCAATTATTTCCACGTAACAGCGATATTTAATCGACAGAATTAAATGATATGAAGGATAAATGTAAATTGAAAGAAGTCTTTGGGACAAAAAGCGTGCACTCACCGCCATGTTGAAGAGAAGAGGCAATTTTCAGTAAATGGACGACTCAGCCGGACTCCACAGAGCTCCACTCCGGTTCCGGTTGCCAGTGCTGCCACAATTCGGTATCCTCCCTAAAACTTTGAGAAAATTCTTTAATTCCTGGCTACTCTGAGAGAGGTCTCTACAATATTTCCTGCTGTCAGTTAAATTAAATATTTGGATGTGTTGTATCGCAACTGAATTTGAATGTTTTTCCTTTAAACTGTGCTAATTTCGTATTTTACTATTGTGTTGTATTACTGCCCTATTTGCCCTTCAAGGGATTACTCCAGAGAGGCATAATCTGTGAGAGGCAGGAGCCAATAACAAAAAGAAGAACTGTTTTAATAATTCAATTTCGCATCGTTTCGTGTTTCCGAATTTCTGTCCCGAACGAGAGAACGCAACTTCTGTTCGCGACTGAATCGCATTATGAATTGCACGATTTAATATCGATTGACGCAGTCTCGTCGTTTGCGGTGTGAAAACGCATCGCGGAATGGCTGTTAGCGGCGTCAGCGCATCCTTCTATCGAAACGTCGTTTTTTTGAATCAGTTGGTCCCACCAGATGATGATTTCAAGAAGGCCTTTCGCGAGGTAAACATCAAACCTTTCTTTATCTCACCGATTCATTTTCGGGTCGATATTCTCAACCCTCTAACCGGAACATAGGTTAGAAAACCGGTACCAGTAGTAGTCATGTTTTGCTTTTCCTTTTACTCCACCGGTTGGTGGATTATAGCGCCTTCAACCTTCTCGCAAGGTTACATTAGCGCAGCAGTCATAATGACCGATGTTCCGGTTAGAGAGTTAAATTGTATGCATCTTTCTTTACGTCCTAATTAGTTAAAACATAATTATTGCATCCACGTTGATGCATTACAAACCTAACCTGTACCACCATTACAGATCCATCAACATGGATAAATTTATCTTATATGCATCTTGCATATACTTTTTTCAAGTCTTTACTGGCTGACGCTGATACAATAAACATGTGTTACAGGGAATGTTTGATAAGCCAAATACTGCCGGATTTATATACGTTTCACATTATCTGTTGACGATACATGATGCGGAACGTTTTAAAAAGGTGGTTGAATGGCCAGTGATTTGCAAGAAGACGGAAGCCAAGTATCGGAACAATGTCAAAGACTATCTGAATATCATTGCTTTGGAAAATCCCGACCTGGGATTTCCACGTGTAGTCACTACATATTTGCATCACGCAAGTGGCACCAAGTTTATGATTATAATGTGGAAATTGTCCCAGCTTACGCTGAGGACGTACATTATGTGTGACGGTAGGTGTCTATGAAGCAACATGCTAATTATAATTTGCCACAGTAGATTAGAACCAGAGTGTCACAGATTGACATTAATTATATCTGTATTAAATTTGGATTCAGCATATTTATATACTGAATTACCTTTAGAACAAGTTATCAATAAGAAATGTACAATGTAAAATATTAACAATGTAAAGTATTAACATCGTTTTCTTTTAAAGATTATGTCTGTATTAAATTTGGATTCTATCATTCAAACTTGCTGACATAATCTGGCTAAAGAGATCAATCAATTGTGATCAATTAGATGATATCAGTAGAAACGAAATAGACTTTGCTATTTTTCACATTGATGTATTCTATTTAAGTAATTCTAAATTCTGCTTGATTGTAGTCAATCCGCTATTATATTCTGTTGTCAAATTCTTTTATATTTCTATTGGTGTTCTATCGACAATATCTAGCATTTCATAAAATCTACTTTCGATAGATTTTACTATTAGGATAATTCTTTATCGGAAATGTATTGATCTTGTTTACACAATTTTTTATATTTTCTGTATAAAATATAAAATTAAATATTCTGATGATAATATTTAGTTATCTCCTGTTATTGCAGGTGAATACAAAGTTGTATTTGCACCAAAACCAGGTCTTGCAAGTAACTTGGCCAAAACATATTTACAGCAATCGAAGGCAAATGTCACTTGTGATACATTGAATCGCCACAGAAATTGTGTTCAAATGGAAAAAGCTGCAAATTTTGCATTGGCGTAATATTTTTAAATTCCTCTTGATATAATCTACTAAAATCAATTTATTATAAGCTCTGTAAATTTTTTTTTATTCCTTCTTCAGAGAGGAGAAAGAATATTTGGCTAAGATTAAAGCGGAGCTGTTTGATAGGAAGCAGTCTCTGGCAAAATACGCGTCTGCAGCTCCCGTTGCCGAATCTATAAAGCAATGTTTGACAAATATCAAAGATACGGAGATCATATCAAGTTAGAATTATTTTTAATATGTAGACTTATTTTTAATATGTTAGACTTATTTTTAATATGTAATTCATTGTGAATCTTATGTTATATAAACGTGAAACTAATAAATATATGTGGTTTTAGTGTGGAAAAATAGCTTGGACAAAAATGTACAATATATACGAAAACAGAACATGATATTGAATGATCTGGAAAAAGTATTTGAAAATACAAGTGGTATAATATCGAATCTATTAAATGATTCAAATGCACTGGATAGCAAGCAGTTGGAAAGAGTTAATTGTTCCCTGATATCAGAATTACCGTTTCCACCTGACATTCAGGTAAAGTTGAATAAGTTAAATAAGTAGTTGTATCACATGATTTCTCTTCAATTAACGTTTCGTGCTGTATCGTTTTAAGTGACTTGATAAACTAGACTTTCTGTTCAGACTGTTTGACATTTTGACTACAAAAAGAAACATAAATTCTAATGTTATATGTGGACATAATTATGATGTATGATGCATTATTGGTACATTAGGCTTTTTTATAATAATAATTTTTGTAACTTTTTAACCATTATGAAATACTTATTATTTAACAAATAAAATAAAACAAAAATATCTTGGCTCACCGGTAATTCACACGGCATGAAATGTGTTATCAATTAACAAGCTACAATTTATGTGTTAAACAAATATCGCAAATATGTCACCGATACTAATATTCCATCAATTTATGTTTTCTTTTAGCATTGTCTTTACCATTTGTATAATGATAACAAATTGGTATATTACAATTTTATTCGTCTGCTCACTTTGATACTATATCAAATATATCAATGTCTGAGAAAGGGTGACTTAATGGACTTATCGCAGTGTCTCTTACAAGTGGAAGCAAGTGCAGAAGACATGAAATCTATGTGCGATGTATTTAAAACTTTCTTGGCAAGCATGATAAGTTCTATGGAGGAGACGCAAAGTGTTTCGTGTATGAAAAGTATAGAACGCATATCCGAAAATGTCTTACCCTTTGCAAAAAGCGTTCTTATGCCTTCGCCTCTCATAAAAATTAATACTAATTTCGGAAACCAAAGAAATGATACACAATTACTGCAGTTTACCCCGGGTGAAAGTATGTTTGAGATTTAAGAAATAACTGTAGATTGTAGTTTTTAGTGCAAAAATAATTGACAAATAATAATTATATTATTTTTTTTTACAGTTACCCATAAAGCATTGTTTTCGAGATACATGCGGCACAATCAGAATTACACGCCAGATTTTAAAACGAATTTATTCGTATCGCGTATCAACATCGACGATCGCACTATGTTCGATAGTAATGAAAAACACGGATTGAATACGCGTTTTATGACACCTAAGGTGAAACAATTGTCTAGGAGAACAACAAAAAAATATTCCCGATTGTTTTCTACATGTATAAAAAGAAACATAAAAGGTTTGTAGATATCCTGTTTGATTTATATATAAATAATACTCTCATTGAAATTGTTTCAATGAGTAATTTATATTAAGAAAAAGAAGATATAAGACAATTTAAGAAGTTATTGAAATTAGATGACGGTTATCTCGTAATAAAAAGATCGTAATTAACTGTCACTGTAAAAGAAGTCTGTCATTAGTTCTCTTTTATTATTTATATTTATTTTTACAAGTTTTTAAAAATGTATCCCTTCTGCACTATGTAATAGCAAGAATTGCATATATTATTTTTACGGAGTAGTGTTTGATTTATGTAATTTCGTCATACAAAATAACCATTTAATTTCAACAACTTCTCGATTGTTTCATCCTAATGTACATAAATAAAATTAAATTTAAATCTACATAGTCAATTCTAGCATGATGTATCTGCCATCCACCGCGGAAGCTAATTCTACTGCAATTGCTAATTGCACAATAGAAGAATTGTCCAGTTCACCGAATCTCAATTTAAACACTATAGCAGAGGGTTTTTTCAATAGGAGTGAAGAGTCTCTCAAAGTTTCTTGCTCATCCGTACAGTTAACTCCGATAAAACAAAACGTTGCACAAGTTGTGTCTCAGCAACAAGCGAGAGATAAACCTGATCGCGAGATCAGAGTAAATAAACCTGAGTTGGATGAATTTACAGAAATACAGTTTGTAAATGACGAGAACAACGGCACAGCTGTAAAACATGAAGACAGTTCGAGAAGGCGATCCATTAGCGATTTGGTGGAACGTTATAAAAAGTTGTTGGAAGTCAGCAATTCGGTTACAGCAAAGTTAGAAAATAAGTGCGAAGAACATGAGAATGAATAACGAAAGGGAGAAGGAAAAAAAAGTATTTTTCTATCTACATATTTTTCGAAGCGGAAAAAAAGATTCATCAATGATTTCCATTATTAAAAGCAACAGAAAATACTAGTGAAGAGTTTGCTTGATTTATTTATTAGTTATTCAAAAATCTATGAATAACACAAAATTTGTTATCTAAACGTACAATATTTCATATAAATAAGTAATTCGGTATATTGAATTGAAACATTTTCCTTTTATTTTATTATACAAATATTTCACTTTAAGTGTCACAAAACGCGTATTCAGTCTATGTTTTTCACTTCGAATAACATAGTGTGATTGTTTATGTAAATACGCGATATGAATAAATTTGTTTTCAAATGTGGCGTGCAATTCCGATTGTGCCGCATGTATCTCGAAAACAGTGATTTATGTGTACCTGAATAGAAACGTACATTTCATACGAATCATTAATTTAGTATTTAAATACTGAATTATTCATTCATATGAAATATTGTACGTTTCAATTCGCATAATCAATTTACACACAAATCGCTATTTTCAAGATACGTGCGGCACAATCGAAATTACATACCAAATTTGAAAACAAATTTATTCATATCGCGTATCAACATCGACAATCACACTATGTTGTTCGACAGTAATGAAAAGATAGATTGAATAGGTACGTGTTTTGTGATGTCTAAGGTAATATAATTGTAGAGAGAACAACAGGAAAACGTTTCAATTCAGCATATTTATATACTGAATTACTTTTAGAACAAGTTGTCAATAAGAAATGAATAATGTAAAGTATTAACAAACATCGTTTTCTTTTAAAGATCTATGACAAACACTGAAAACTTTTATAAAGAAAGATTAAAGATTTCAAATATATTTCGGCGCTATAGTATTTTTCTGCTCAAAAAGAAAAGAAAAAAAAAGAAAAAACCGAGTAGGTACTAATTTTTATTTCATATAGTGAAACATACTGTATATTTTTTATAAAATTTATACGTATTTATATATTACTATATAGTTAGAATTATATGAAACATATATATTATTGTGTTACAGCTAACATATATTGTTACGAAATAATTTTGTGTAAAAAAAAAACTAAAAAATGGTCTCTTTTGTACAAATGATATACTTTCGCCTTCTTTATCTGATTTCTCGTAATGGTTTTAATTAAGGACATATTTTTATTTTATACATAAATTTAAAAACTTTTGCTTATTGTTTATACAGTAATTAAATATTTTTCCTCTTCGAAATTCTCATTATCAGTATATTCTAATAAACTAGTTCAATCTTTTGGTTATCGTCCAAAAGATAACATGGTGTTACCTGTGTTTCATCAAATAACACTCTTAAATTTATAATAGTATATCGGTTTATTTACAGATATTACGTTAATATTTCGAGGACTGTATTTACTTAACATATTTGCAATACTAATAGGTAAAAAGAAATGTATATATTAAAAATTAGTCTTTGCATTCTGAATTCTATATGTTGCATCAAATGTTTACATACATCGTTTATTTAGGTCCGATACTGATCAGTAATGTAAAGAGGCACAATGGCGAATTCTTAGTATACATACATTAATGAACATTTCAAAAAATTTAATTATAATTAGTTATACATAATAACTAATGTGTTGAACGTTACGTAATTGTATCGATTAAATACAAATCTTAATTTGTTAATTTCTAGCTGTGCATTTTTGGTACTTTAGAAAAGATACTGATACTTTTTTTGTTCCCTTGCGTTATCTTTATATTTTTACTATTTTGCGTTAATAAAATGCAATATTATATTACTAAAAACTGTAGAATGCAAATTAGACATATGCATAACAATAATACGGGCTTCACAAATTTGGACTGAATTTTGTATCACGTAATTGTCTTCTATTCAGTCTTAATGCATCGTTTAGAAATATTTTTTTAATGATATTCCCGTATATACTCTCTTATTATTGATAATATGGTTTGATATTAATTTTTAACAATATTTTTCTGTAGAATTTTCGTATCTCTTTCATATTTTGTTCGGTATGATGTACAGGCCGGGCGTGGAATAGAATTTAGGCTGTAAAAAGAAAATTAAAATTGTCAAATACATTGTTGTTCAGAAACTATATCACATTGCCAGTCCAAAGGCGGGAAAACTAGAACTCGAACCGCTTCAAGCCGTGGAGAAACGAAACCTTCGAAAGAGATATCTGAGGAAACTCGATAGGGAATACTCGTGTCAGGAATGGCTTCACACAAGCCACTGACCTATAATATAATACAACTGCCAACTGGAAGGCAGGATTGTTCCTCAGGGAAGGAGAATGCACTAAATTTGAGGGCAATTTCGACTGAACTGAATTGTACCAGAGAGATACAACCACTAACTTAACCATTTAATAGCGATAAAGCAGTTATACAATAATTTTTATTTAATTTTATTTAATATATTAAGCAAACAGAGATTAATTAGTTTGCTTGCTCGAAACATCCATTTCAACTATTCTGACAAACATGCTAACAAATAATCACTCAAGTCGTTAAGAATTCCGCATTGTTGCCATTGACTGATTTTTTTGTATATATTATGTCAACATGACCATATCATGTTATTTAAATTTTTTATTTTCGTTTCAAATAGAAAAAATTAAACTTTTACCATTTTTATTAAACACATTTTGTTTCATATAATTAAAATTGCAATTAATTTAACGATTAGAAAAATAATTTCGGAAATATATGGAGTCTCACGCAGCGCAAAGTTTGAACATTGTATATATCATATATAAATATCAAAAATATTAAATTCTAAATCTATTAAGATTTAGAATTTTATTTGCTTGTATTTAAATAAATAAAAGTAAATATAAATAAAGTTCTAAAAGGTTTTTTATAAAAATTTATTTGTAAGATCAACAATGCTGCAATTTGTAAGGAAAACTGCACACTGTTAATATTTAAATATATTTATTGTTCAATTTGGAGATATGACAATCTCTATTCTTCCTATAAATCTAAAATGATTACATAGCACCTTCGGCAACGGGCTTGCTATAGACACGCTTGCTGTAAATGTGTGTCTGATCAAACAATCCATGGCGAATCGTCGCATTGGCTGATGAAAAGCATATGAAATTCAAGTACACGTGCCAGCATAAAAGTATCACCAATCTAAAATAAAATCTCGAACATCAAACGAAAATTTTACGCTTACTAAGGCCTCAATCTCAATCTCAACATTTATCTAACAGACATTAGTGAACAGAATCACATAGTAATACACGACTCCTAGGCTTACTCTTAGTTACGTAACAATTACATTCTTCGGGGAAATATTGCTCGTCGATGTAATGCAGATCTTCAAACAATTTATAATCGTGTTTCTTCTCATTTACTATGAAAACTGAAATTTGTACGGGTAATTCAAAATGGATAATCTAAAATGTACAGATTGTAAAATCTCTTGAACGAATTACGCAGAAAATTCTGTTTTCATATTTTATATTTATCTTTTATACCTTGTATGCTCTCTATATAGGTTTAGGTTCTATCAGTTTGCATAGAAAATTAGCAAATCTATGCCCGAATATATTTGTTAATTCCGTTAAATGGTCGTATTTTCATTTGATTTTATCGCGTAATATTTGCCAAGTGTTCTTCAATCGTAACCAAGAAAATTAATCTATCTATTGATTTGTGACACAAAAATGTTTTCCTTTCGTTTACTGTGAAAACTGAATGTAAAGCTGATTTACTCGGATAATCTAATTGTGTAAAATCTCTTGAATAAATTATGCAGTAAACTTTTTATTTTCACATTATACATTTTTTATCTTTATTTTATCTTATTTTGCGTAATGCGTATTCTTTATCGATTTCATCAGTTTTTATGTCAAAATGTTTTCCATTATTCATTCCGTTGAATTGTTACGCATTCTTTTCACTTGATTTTATACAATTATACTAACACGTTTGAGCCTTAATAATATGCTACAACACCGAGGATATGATATTATGCTCTTTATTCAAGAGAAATCTACATTCTATCTAAATGCATTTTTAACACAGTCTAAATGCCCTTCATACGGATATTAATTTTCATCATGTAGAATATACAACTCATTTTTCGGGATAGAAACAAAATTCTCGGAAATTTCTTCGGAATAGTTTCTCGGACATATTTCATAGGAATAATCATCGCGGAACAAATGCTACGTTTCGTCGAAGTTTCTCGCTCCACACGTTTGATACTGCATCCCTCGGAGATTGGTACGAAGCGTAAGTTGCAACGAAACATGACATTTCCACGATCGTTTCGTCAGTATCGTTCTATTTACAATACATATCGCAACCATTCCGCTGCGATTTCCTTCCGGCTAGCTTCTAGGCCGCTCGAATGATTAGAAGAACAATGTAGGGGAGATGTCGGCGGAAATGCAAACGAGGTAGGACAGCGACACAGCTTATTATTTTCCAATTTAATTTATTAATTTGTACGTCTATGTACAAGGCTGCGTCGAGCTAAACACTCTTCTCTATATAATACATTACATGTCCTCTTATGTAAAACTCAGACCCACTTGCAGGAAACGAAGTTGCAATAAATTATTCAGTTACGCGAAAGAAATCGCTAAGGAAAGAAAAAGAAAAAAAAATATAATAATGTGAGGCGCTTTACCGCCCCGCTGCATTTCATTCAACTATGTACAGTACATATTTATAAATCATCAATTGTGCTAAATGCACAATCTTCCGCGTGCAAAGACTGACAATAGCATTGACGATGTTGCTACGACTACTCGTCGTCACCAGGCGTACGCTAAAGAAAATGAATCAGCACCAAAATTTGATTTTGTGCTAAATTACATAATATAATGCATTATAGTACGATGCACCATTCTCAGCGTTCTCCCTGCCCTTTGTATTACTAGTCGTTTATATTGCACTGGTAATAATAACTTATTCTCCAGTCATTAACTACAAATTTCGAATACACGATATTAATTTTTCATTTACTATCCTGCCTATTATAGCTTCCTTAAGTTGTTTTTCCTGTTTCTGTCTTTCGTATCGTTGGAAATATACTTCAATCTTTAACTATATAAGAATATGGACTGCACTAAACGATTTGTATATCTTATAATATTGAGTGTTCCCAAGTGTAAAGATTGTTTAATTTATTAAATCTGCGCGAAAAATTTAAATATTTATCTACTATAAATAAATATATAAATAAAATAAAGACTAAATATAAAGTAACTAAAACTAGATGGACTAAAATGCAGCTTCTTACAGTTTGGCAGTTCCTTATAGTTTTCATATGTACTAATGTATCCGTGAATATATCATATCCTTTTACAAAAACAATATTTGAATACATTATCAATTTCTTTTGATCTTTAAAAAATTACTTATAAAAAAATTTATTAAATAAGAAAAGTTTATATAGACTTTTATATACAATTGCAATTTTTTGTAACGTAACGAATCTTATAAATTACGTCACCAATTGTATATATCTGGATTCTTAAATTTTTGCATCTACCAATATAATGCATAAATATTACGACTAGCAGTCCATAGATACATATAGTCGAAGATCTTGATACAATCACAAGATAAAATAATCTTTATCTTTACATTTTTTTAGTTAATAATTTACATATTTCTCTTCATTTATCACAAACTATCAAAAATCCAACCTTCTATACCTTTCCTGTTCTTAATTCATTATAGATTTTAAAATAAAATTTAAAATGTATAATGATTTCGTGCATTTTCACTGTACAGAGTATATTCCGCCCTTCTATATTTGTCTCTCTCACTTTTCATTCATCTTTAGGATAAAAACTTAAGATACAATGTTTATTATATAAAGTATTTAGCAACCTGATTTGTGTATCTTATTAATGTTTACACCATCATGATTATTTACAACGATTCACCACGTTAGAGATTTGAAAATTGCTGTATATAAATCAACGAATACGTCAAAATATAGACAATCAATAATACTGACGACAGAAGCATATCGTGTACTCAAGTAATGCCGCATGAACCAAGATTTCCTGGTAATAAAAAAAAAACGAGCTCTCTTTCTCTGCGAATACGTTAAAAAATAATTTGCTGGAATTGATTAATTCGTCCGCTATCGCATTATAGACTACAAAATATTCACAGTAAGCCACCTTTACGACCAAAAAGAAGCGAGCTTATTGCTCCCAATGCCGACTGTTTGGATTCTTTAGTTACAGGCGTCGGAACTGGCGGCTTAACTCGTCCCAGATCGGGCCTCGTCGCTCTAGCACCCGATCGTCGCTGCCGATCCGGCGACTGACCCGCCGCTCTCGAATTAAATGCTTTGGAACCGGACACGTTTGGTTCGGGCTCCTTGCTATCATCCCGTTTGCCCAACGCAAATTCGTCACTAGCGGAGGATGTTGAAGACGAGGGAGATATTAACTTCTCTTGGCTGGTACTGGAGGACATTGAAGTTTTGAGGAAAGTCAATTGTGCCATTGGACTTCCAGTCGAACGACGCGTGTACAAAGCACCCTGTAGAGCTAACGGTGAGATCGACGAGCTAACTGTAGTGGCTATGATCGTATCAATACCAATCCTCTCCAATTTCTCCACCAGACGTATCCCCGTGAGAGCTTTCTTATCGGAGCGCGAGATCGTCGATTTTGGTCTCTTCTTCGTAACTTGCACCGGCGCCGGTGGCTCGTAACTAAAAGTACGCCGCAGTAATTCCGCCCCGGTGCTGAGCAGTCCCAATGTCAGCGAGGCGGCATTCTCCGGTGGCGGTGACGATGATCTTGTAGGTGACAAACTCGCGTCCGGACTGTTGCACGGTGTAGCAGTCGGTGAGAAATTCCGCTCGTCGGTAGGCGTGCCTATGCACGAGGGTGTGACGGCCTTGATTCCTCTTTCGTTCAGCATCTTGGCCAATCCGAGGGTGGTCGAAAACGTTGACGTTGAATTACGACGGCTGTGCGTGCGAGGGGTGCTCATACCGGAGTTCATACCGCTGTTGGGCGCCGAGGCAACGCGACTGCTAACGATGCTCGGCGTCACGCTGCTAATGGTGTGATCATCCGGATGCATTACGGTGCTGTTAGTAAAGGTGTAAATGGAGCCGGTGTCTTGGAACGGTTTACCGGGGTTAGTGTACTCCTCATCTTCCTCCAAATCGCTCAACGCAAACGTTATCAGACCGAGATCCTCGAGAGCACGACCGCCTCTGGTCTTTACGCCTGGTCTGTCCTCCAGCAATCCACCTAATGTCGGCGTCGCCAGTCGCGACCAATGGTGCAACGTCTGCGAGCCCTCCATCGGTTTGACTATCTGCAGTTTCTGCGGGATGCGCCAAGCGTTGCCGCTGTTGCCGCTGAAGCCGCTCAGATTACCGCTGCTACCAGTCGACATGATGCTGTCCGGAGTGCGACAGTCAAAAGGCAAGAAGGTTGGCGGGGAATGTAATATACCACCATCGTAATCGTAACTGTAACCGGCGCCTGTACTGAGACACGCACGCCTCGCCAATACTTCCGCGGGCGTTAAACGGCGTATAGCGGCTTCTAGATCAGCAGCACCGGGAGCACCAGGTACGCCCATTCGTTGTGGCCCTCTGAAACACAAGAGGGTTTCATCTCGATTAAATAAGGAAAACCAATTTATATATTTCCGTGAAGAGACGGATACATACGGGTAATCTTCCGTCTCCATGAGCAAGGATCCTTCGTTCTCACTGTGACCGGTAGAATCCAAACTGGGAAATGTAGATGCCTGCGGTCGCACCTGCCCACAACTCATCCGCGGACCAACTGAACTGCTGGATAATGTCGACGTCGTCATGGAATTTAATCTAGGAAACTGATTGGGATCCATTCCTGAATATGTTGTTCGAGACGCGGTACGAACGGTCTCAAACACTTTCTTGTAGGTTGGTCTACAAAACAAATGCAACACGAATTATTCGATCAACTGTGTGAATTATTGAAACTATAATTCTCACGATTTCATTATACGAGAATGTATTGTTTGATTAGTTTTAATTTCAAATCTAATCACTACATGTATACTTCATAACATAACGTACATTCTGTCGCCTGCACCGATCCCAGAGTCAATACTTAATTCCGAATAAAGGGACGATTCCAATTCCGATGCGATAGAATCCGGTTGAGGCGCCGCGCCCATCGACGGGAATAGCGATCCACCGCGCACAGTCGGCATTCCGCGTTTCCTCTGTTTCCGCAACTGATCTTGCGTTTCGGCTAGTAAGTTCACCACCTGAATGCACATAACATGCAGTATTTCGACATAAATTTTATAATAAATTTTACACAAACGAAATAATTAATTAATAATTCAGATCTTAATCCATTAATTATTGAGTTATTTTTCATTTATATTACGTAATTCTCGCATACGAAATTTCAATAAAATAATTAATTAACGTAATTTTTCAATGTTTCGCAAAAACGTACCTCCGCGTATCGTTCTTTAAATTCAGCTAATTCAGCAGCAAGTGTATTTTGATTATCCCTAGTTATGACTAGAGTCGCTCCCACTTCGTCGTGCTCCGCCATCAGCTGAGCGAGCCTAAGCTCTGTCTCAGCTAATTTCGCAGTAAGACTAATTATTTGCTCATGTTGCAATCGATTCTCCTCCTTTTGTCGGCCAAGCTCCTCCGCTATGCCATCCACCTCCATGTTGGCGTTTGCTGTAATTTGCCAGAAATTATTTAATGATATTTCAGCCGTCACAAATGTCTCGTGTTCATATAATCTCATTACTGCTTAAAAAGTTATTTAATTTTGCCAAAACTACGTTGAAGCTATTTAATATGAAATATAAAAGATTATAAGTAAATATATTTATGTTTAAAATGATATACCTAATTGCGCTGCGATATCTTTTACAAGACGTGCCTCCTGTTCTTCGGAATCGTCGGCATCGTGCACCAGATTCGCGACCTCGCTGTGGAGCTGCTTATTCTCTTCTTCCAAAGAGGTAACCTTCCTCTGTAATATCTCCAGATTAATGCCGCGCAGGCCGGTGGGAGTTCCGGCTTCCGAGCTAGATTCGTCCACATCGTTCGTTAGTATCTGTATCAGCTCGGTCTTCTTCAACACCTCATGGTTCAACTGGGTGATCTTTTCGTTCGCTTCTTTGAGCTCGGCTTCTAACGCGTTCACTGTGGTCTCGAGCTTTTGATTGTGTGCCAGTAGTTCCTTGCCGATTCGCGCAGTCAGCTCCAAGTCTTTTTCTTTCTGTCGAAGAAAAACGTAGCCATTTGTCATTCGTTATTGTTATGGCCGAAGGTCTCTCGTCTCTAATTATTGCTAATCTATTGTAAAATTAGTTTTAATTGTATTCCTTGCACAAAGTATAAATACTCAATTTTTATCGGTACTTCTTACAACATGTTATCTAAAGAAAATTTCTAATAACTGCCTTTAAATTGCTAAAGGATGATTCAGAAATACGAGTAAGAATATAAAAACAAATTCTGAATAAAATTCTAACAACTTGACAGAAGCCCTACACGCGTTCTTCGCGAGTCCTAATTATATAACTATTTACAGGTTATTTAAACTTATCTCCACTTATCGGATCTTTACGTGTTATTGATTTGTGCCGGACGTCTTCTTAATATTTTTAGATACGGATATTTACTATTCGTAAAATTTTAACGAGGCGATATGCACGGCGCGGGCTTAGTTTCTACCAGCTCTTTGCTTCCTGATCAGGCTTACCTCCTCCAGAAGCCTTGTAACTGCCTCTATGTCATTATAGGTCTTGGTCATTTGGCTCACCCGGTTGCTACATAAGACTGTAACAGAGTAACGATTCGTTATGAAACTGCCGGAATAAAAAAAATATATAGCTTAAAAGAAAAGAATATAGCAAATATGTGTGTGCAGAGAGGCCGGACCATTGCATTTATAATTGTAAGCCCTGAAAAAACAATATAAGCAACACTTTGATAGACTTTCTTTCACAACTGTTTTTTCTCTTCTTATACACGAAAAAACGTTCCAATATAAATACTTTCGCACATTATCAATATAGTTGCAATTGTTACACATATATTGCGGTCTTTCGACTCGCGATCTGTATGAATGTCTTGGTATAATAGTTCACTTTTATTTTTTTAATCTTTGTTTTTAATCTTATACATTTTGAATTATTTTTTGTTATATATACATTATTCTATCATATATATAAATATGTCAATTTTAGTTCAATTTTTAATTTTAATTCCATACTCTTTCAAATGCGAATCACGTAGAACCGATCGCATCGCATGTACAATGTAATTCTCTACGACTTGTAGAACGTACACAATCGAGGATCACGTTTCTTTTGTTGAACGATATTTCGCGCACGATCCGTTTGCGTATCGATGACACTGATTGCGCAGACGGTAATCGAAGCCGGTAAAATTTCAGCAAGTTTAGCATTTGATGTAATAATAAACGCGAAATTTCTCATTCGCGAGAATAGAACTGCGCTGAGTGAAGTAGTAAATGTCAACTTTTCTTTACTCGCAATATTGAAAAGTGAACTCATCGAAATTATACCGGCTCGAATTCCTTCGCTTTGAAATATGAAATAGGATTTATTACCACAAATGGGAGTTGTTTTGTTCCTTTCGAAAGCGAGCTGAGTAATAGAATGAATTTCAGATTAGATCTCGGGGCATATATTACTGTCTCGTATTTTATTCTCATATAATCGATTTTCCGGTATTTATAATTCCCGTGCAACGATCTAAAACATGGGTTATTCTATTTCCAGCAAGCGCAAAAACTGATTGAGTATTTACGCATTTTTTAACGAAATCATTAACTTCACTTATTCAAAAAAAGGATATAGGTATTATTATTTTGATTTATATATAGAAATGACATTTTGATATCGCGATAACAACATTTATAAATAAAAATTCGAAGCTTTATTGACACATCTTAAACGAAGAGTCATTTTAATTTATGCCTGCAGCTGAAAATTTTGCTTGTATTTCTTTATTTTCCCGAACATATGTAATAGCTGTTATCAATCCAATTATTTCAATATTTTGTCAATCAAATTTCTTAAAAAAATCACAATAAATTCGCTTCAGCACCAATATTATTCTGCAAAATATAATTTACATAATTATATTGAACGTTTCGATAACTTTTTGTTCGAATAATGTAGTCTCTGCTATTAAATTTGCCTGCGAATATGATGTATTTTCTGATTACCTGAGGTCATCAAGTTAAATTCCGGCACGTATTTCATGCATTTGGAACAATCGCGGTCTTGCAATGTAAATACATTAAAAGTGCGCGTAAACATTGTTAATTCCAAAGAGCAACGTGAGAGCTTTAGATCTTCAAAACTTGGCCGGGTCCACTTCATGGAAATGGTCGAGTCTCCATAAACAGCCTTGTTGCGTTCTTGATCATATCATGAATTCCCGAAGGAATTCTAACTACAGACGGATCGGAAAACGATAGTATTGTATCCTCGAGTGTCAAGTATATTTTAATGTACTTAACATTCTCACACGATGTTTCGCCTGCGGCTTCTCTAGATCAACTGAGCTAGAAGGTCTCTCCTCCGTAACATTACCCTATACTCGTCGAGAGTTTTCACGGGATAGAAATGAAAATGTGAATTTGGAGCGGCGAGCAACGAACGGATACTGGCGCAGCGATATTCAGCAGCTGATCGCTCGTTCCACGCGCGAGACAACGAACTGTCTCGTGGAAAATCGCATCGCGGGCGAGAACGGCGAGGGGACGACACACGATCGCGTGTCTCGCGATCGGAGGATGATGCGGCCCTAATGAGAGCGGCGAGAAAACGTGACACGCGAGAACGAGGGGAACGCGAAAGCGTGGAGACGGAATGAGATGCTCGCGTTGCACGAAAGAGAGTCTCTTGCATCCCTCCTATCGATCGGCCTTTGGCGCATCCTGTCAGCCGGCTCGGCCGGCCGTCGAAAGGCGCAGACGCGTTCATGACCAAGGTCGCCTTTTCCAAAACTCTACTCAAAGTCACAGCTCTGTGGCATTCGAGATGGGGAATAAATGGGGAACAGATTAAGCCGGAATAAATTACCAATTCGTAAATGGATTTGGAATGAGGAAGAGAAAAAGTGATATCACTTGAGAGCACTCGGGACTCGAAAGGGATCCATTTCGACCTTTAGGAAAAAACAGATGATTCATTCATATATTCTTACATGCTACTTCGCGTCTCGACGAGCTCCACATTTTTGATGGTTTAAGAATCTCTCTGCGGGATTTGAAAGACAAACAGTCGATCGTTCTGGGCCGTCCGTTCTTTTATCTTCGCGTAGTGAGAGCTAATTTAGAAGAGAGGTTTGAAGAAAAAATTCACATTAACTAAAACCTTAAGATAGGGTTTTGGAAGCGCAGGAAGATACTAAGAGTAAAAAAAAAGAAATTTTTCGAAACTCATGTACTTTTTTTAGAGCTATTTAATTGTGTATTAAATCTGTTGTTATATAACATAGGCCCCGGTATGTGATATAAATTAACTTTATTTTGCAGCAATACAGATAAGATACGCGCAGCACTATGTACATTTTTTATATTTTTACCTTTTAAAGAAAGTTATTTCGAAGTTTTATTAAAATATTAAATGTATGTTTGTAAAAGTGAAATAAGACGATGCGACGTAGCGGAATAGATTTGAGATCATGGACTTCGACAGGGCAGATGCTTCACGGGTGCCTTCATCACGTGATTACTTTATGAGCGATCATTTTTTTCTTTCTATTGAAGGGACGCCTGTTTATATCGTAACAATACTGAAGAAGCGAGACTAAACGAACGTAATGGGCCACTTTCAATTCCAACGAGAGGCGCTTCGATGCCCACCACTGCATTTCGAACGGATTACTCTTCGTCGTCGTCTTCATGACGACGCGGTGTCTTCATGAGCGAATTACGTTAACAGACACCTTCACGGCCAATTGACCGCGATGATCGATGAGCGCGAATTTGCAGAAAGTGCCGCGGATGCCTCGACACGCGAGGCGAAAGATTTTCCTGCCGATCGAGGCGCGATGCTAAAAAGGTACCAAGATACGCCGGGAATATCAAAAATAATAGTTCCGTTTGTGAATAAATAAAGTGAAAACGTCTGTTTGGAATTTTTTCAATTCACCAAGAGTTTCTAATATTAACTTGTTGATCTGAGATGTTTATAAGGGAAGATTTTACTACGAAATATTTTTCAAAATAAAATCCTTTTTTCATTCTTTTCGCATATAAACTGTACGGAAGACTCGTTTTATTTTTTTAAGCTCGAGGTTTCATAATATTTCTTCTTAGGCGTTTTCTTCGCACGTATCCCTTTGATAGCGCACCAGGTTTTGTAACGAGGTAAGAACGAGAAAATTTATGAAATCGTTTGCGACCTCGTAATATTTTTATCACAGGACAAAGTACAGTTCGTTTTCGTTTATATAAATTCGCTTTATATAAAACAGTGCGATTAGAAACCACGGACCGTGTAGTCAAAATGTCGCTTTAACTCACTACTAATTAAGAAGGCTACCGGAATTTTATCCTTCATGCCAGATACGGTTGAACGCAACCATTTTCTCGCTGAATTTAATTGAAAATATAACTTAATGTACATATATTTCCTCCATTGCATGATTTTACTGTACGAATTTTATTGCACGTTACTATATGTGTTTATCGCAAATTAAATTACTTTAATCTACATATCTCCCTCGTACAATTGTCTATACTCTTGGATAATTTACATTATTACGTTACATACTGACAAAGGAGAAGATTAATTAATCAAACAACATATATATTGATCACTTATCAAAGATAATATTATTGAAAATAAGACGTACACGCCGCACTATATATCTTGATTACGATCCGCTAATTTTAATCGTGCGAGAGAATTCAGATAATAACAAATATTTCATCCTTACTTGTCGAAGATACCGAATATCGGAGTGTAACCTGAAATTTATATCGACATGATGTCAGTTAAGTATTCCACGCAGGGCTTTAAAACCGGTCTCTCGACTCTTCTTTTTTATTTTATTCACAAAAGGGCGACGCGAACTCGTCGATCTGGTACGATCGGAATGCAGATAAACCTTCCCATGCCGGAAAATCATGAAGGGGCACGCAAATAGCGTCCTGTGTGCGTTAATTCGTTCGCGCATCATGTAAAAAGAAAATTGGCTATTTCCGGAAATTTACATTTATTACCCAATACTTTCGCAGGGAAAATACTGTATTAAACTAATGAAAAAATTATATATATAAACTTTTCTAATTTTGCAAGACAATGCTGATAATGTCTTTTTTAAATGCTGTTATCGATATTTTTGTGTGACACTGTGATTATAAAATAAATCTTATACAAAGGTGTATCTTTAAATAAATCAGTAGCACGTGCATAGCGACAAAAATCAAGATATTTCTCCACATAATATAATAAAAAATTTTTTTGCAAAAACTTACATAATCATATATAAAAAATTAAGTGCGGAATAAATATTCGCAGAAAAAAGATAAATAAATAAGCTCGTCACGAAGCTTTGTTATATATCTTATCTAATTTTATCGAGACAAGTTATTATTTATTGTCGGTGTACAATATTCCTTATCTAATGTGCGTGCATTGTACCATCTACGTTCGAATCTAAGCCGTGTAATTTCAATCAAGCCGTTCCTGTTGGACCCAAATATTTTCAAAAGCAAATGATCAGGCGAGTGAAGCTCGAAAGCGGAAAATGAGATTTTTTTGTAAAAAAAAAAAAAAAAAGTAAAATGCGTCAACAGAGAGACAGATGAGAATGCAACTTAGAAAAATTCACACTGCGCCAGATAAATATATTGTTAAATATTATAACGCAAATTATAATACAACTTAATACCGCGGATGCAAAACGTAGATTTGCGTGCTCTTCGCCACTAGTATTACGAAAGTTTATGAAAGTATATCTCATAATAATGTCGCGTCAATCAGAGTGACCAGAATACAAAGTATCATCTACAGCAGTGACAAGAGAAAGTCCATAGTTACATAATTTTGCAACATGTCTGTTAATCGGCTAACAAATATAAAGAAATTAACCCGAGAAAAGACCTTTAGCGACTTTAAGACTTATGACAGCTCAGCTTAATGTCTGCGCGATTTTTCTGCAAAAACATTTGCATTTAACGCACAATCCTCTAAGTAAAAATTGTATAAAAACTATAAAGAAATCAAGAAGAAAAATCGATTCTATAAAAAAAAAATTTGTCAATTTCCATTATATAACTGATTTTTTTGTTTAACGTCGTAATGTCCGCTAATATCGACACAGGAAAGGACGCTGTATTTAATGCCGTATTTAACGCCGATTTTAACGCCGTAATTCTGACGCAGTGCGAACGCAAACGACACATCGACAGGACAACAAAACGGGGGTTACTGACAGGAGGTGCACGTGCAGGATGCCTCCGCCGGCGAGCCGAGGAGGAACAACGGCAAGCCCTCGACGGCGCAGCCCTTGCATCCCCAGCAGGGTGCACTGACTTTCGTTGTCGGCACCGAGGAACCCGAGACGAGATAATTCGCCGCCTCGAACAAGGACAGGCACCCATCGTCGTCGTCGTCGTCGGTGTCGATGTCGCGACGCTCGCCGGAGGTCGCCGGCGGCCTGATGTCATCGTCGTACTCGTAAGGATCATCCTCCTGCGGATCGTCGTGGTCGTGACCGGTCTCCTCCGGCTCCACGACGTCCGGCGTCGGCGTCCTCTCTTCGCGAGCCGCGGTTTCCTCCTCCAGGGTATACAAGGGGTCCGTGGACCGGTTCCGACACCAAGAGCTGTCGTAAATAGTCTTTCATGCCGACGCGCTTTCGCGATTGTATGGTGATTCGCGCGGGGGGAGAGAGAGAAAGAGAGAGAGAGAGAGAGAGAGAGAGAGAAATGATCAAGTGCGTGGTAAGTAACCGATTGTCATTTGACTGCTGTCATTTGCCTGTCATCTGCATCCAAATTGAATGTATGTGTGTGTATATATATATATATGTATATATATACGTAACTTATTTAATCTTATGACAAAATGATTATTATATAACAAATCAAAAAAAAAATTTATATGTATAATTATTATAAAAATGAAAGTAATAAAGAGAAATTGTTCCGTTCCGTTTGTATTCAAATTCAAATGACTTCGAAATAATAAACACATTCCGCGTGACGGAATTCAAATTAACGTCTCTATCACCCATAATCTTTAGTTGTTAACCGTGATCGATAAGCGCCTTTTGTTATCATTTCCCGCGTATGCTTTCCTTTTCATATTTGTTCTTGCGTAACGATTTTAATCTCTGTTGACTTTGCCAATTAACTAATCAATAATGCAATATTTTCTGTCAATTTCCAGTTTTATCATTTTTTTTAAAGGTACATTAACGGTATACCTCAAAATTTTGCTAATGCCTCTAATTTGCGTAATTTCCTATGTACAGATCTCTCAATACTTTGTTTCCATTGTAATTATCATATAAATAAAGCGAATAATTAAATATATATCAGATAAACTTGAAATAATAAATTGAAATAATAAATTGTATAATTTATAATATATATATAATTATAGTACCTATATAATTATAATATATACCTATATAATTATAATTTATTTTTACTTCATCTATCTTATATCAACAATCCTCGTTTTATATAATCCCTTTATTTCTTACTGAATTATTAAAAAAAATTCAATAAAAATATCTTGCAAAGAACATAAAACGAGCTGTGAGATTGCACTACGCTCGTAGTGTGCAGCACCTTACGGGAAGGATGAGCGGGTAATTATTGATTTTCTTCGTCCCGCGCTTGCATAAGTATCTGCAGCAGATAATCGCGAATCTGCAAAGCTTCATATAATTTTAAAAAATATTGCATATGTCATATTATATAATTGAGTCAAAAGACACTTATTTTGAACGACGATGTCCTTTAGGTAATGCATTATGTAATCATACGTAATAAAGATCAAAAAGAGGACCCAGACATACGTGGTTTTATAAAAAAGTATTTCGTATGTATGTTTTTAAGAAATTCATTAATCTTTATTCCATAGACTTGTTTGTAGTTAGACTTTGTCACGTTATTTTTCTCACTATGTCACGTGAGCGCGTTTAAGATCAAGAAAAAAGATCCAGCACGGTACAGAGCTCTTAATGATTGCCGCGTCGTAATCAGTATCATTTCGAGTTTCCTGCTTTTTGCGACACGAACGCACACCACCCACTGCAAAATAATCAGAATTATGAAACCTGCGCTTTTGTTATCAATGCCACTCGTCGTTTTGTCCCATTTCTGCAGTTTGCAATGCAAACGACTGCTTCAATACGCGACTTTTGCGCGCGCTGTTTACCGCATTTGTTTATTTTAACTGCAGCGAAACACATCCGAGCTTTTTCAAAGCGAACAAATTTGCTTCTATTTTTCAAATAGAATACATTTTATATTTTGTTACATAATTCACGCAGATTAGCCGAAGATAAAAGTAGATATTAAATTTAGGAAAATGTGAAATAAATGTCAAACGTTTTCAAACATAGTGAGAAAATATAATCGTGTTAGTCACATTCTGTTAATTAATTTTCATTTAACGGCCCAACAAAGCGGATTCGTCAACAAACGTTATACACTTGTGTTAAGACCAATAACAAAGCCGCAAAATTGTTAGAGATGCTTAATATATCATATGATATATTGAACTAAGAGTTACTCGGTGGCCTTGAATTGTTTCTGTGCGCGACAGACGAAATGAGCGTTTAACGTAATCACGAGACGTTAATTCGAGGCCGTCTTATCGGAATTACGCAAATTTATGATGAACACTACTGTCATTTTCAGACTTACATTCGAGGACTGACAGCAATTGACAAAGGAACTGTACTTGGGAACGCAATACAGCAATTTTTTAAATGTCTGTAATATCATAAACAAGAGCACAAAGTAATAAAATTAAATAAACTACCGAAGAATATTTTAACACATTCGATAGCAGATAAAAAATAAAAAATGATTAATTATATATCCAAGCATATTAAAATGAATGTTAAACGTACTAAAAATCGTGTGTGGAAATAAATGAATAATATTTATATCGCAAGTACATAATTTCCATTAAACTGCAACTTTTTTCCTTAAAATATGTATATTCAATCAAGAATCGAAAAAATGATAAATTATTAAAGAGCGTTTGGACAACTCGAGCACGTCGTATTCGCGATGCTAAAGCTAAAGAGAGAAAGGAACGAAGTGGCAATGAGAATAGAGAGAGAGAAAGATACGACGAAACGTCTAGCCTGGTCGCGACGTGCGACCCTAAAAACCCTCGCACGTCGATCGTCGCGATTCGCCGTCCGGGGCAGATCGTATAAACTCATGCCGACTCAATTGTGCGTGCAATTATTGTCGTGGCGATATTTACCATTCAACGGGTTATTCCGTCGCAGTGGCGAGGCGAAGCGAGGCGGGGCCGAGGGAGAAGGGCGAAGCCGGCAGAGCTTGTGCCGTGACGTCACGTCACGTTTCGAGATTCACCCTAGCGCTGGCACGCGTCGTGGCTTCGCGACGTCGTCGCGGCGCATCGTTCCCGTTTTCCGCGCGTATACGCGCGATCGCGCCGATCCTGATCGGCGACAAGGATTCCCTCGCGACGCTTCGCGACGTCGACCCGTGCGCGCACGAGATATCGCAGCTGACGAGACGTCACGCGATAGGATCGATGCGCCATCTTAAGAGCCGTCGGTTCCGACGGTTCCGTGCGTGCCGCCGGACGGAACGTGTGGAACGGAAACGCGCCGCGGACGTTGCGGAACGGGAACGGGCCGAATGCGCGCGCCCAACCCCGCTAACTATAAAGGAAACCGCCACCCAACACCCCCGTTGCATCCCCCCCCCTCCCGCGACCTTGGCGCATTGCTCCAAGCTTAATTAACAACCTCCGAACGCCTCCCGTTTAATAGCCTCGCCTCGTCACATTCTCGGTTTTGTAAACGTGAACTTTACGATTACAAAAAGAAACGCAATTCATAATTTCTATCCTCCTTTCTTTTACATTTTACGGGTATGAGTACTTTAAATTGCAATTCTAAGAATATATATCTTAAGAAAACGTACAAAATCGATTAAAATGTAATTTAAAAAATTATATTACTTTTAGTCTTGAGTAAAGCTTTAGACGATTTCTAATTCGTATCAGATTTCAAGATGGAAATCCGATGCGTTTTTTATTCATATTCTTTTGTATCATGTATTTTGATGTATGTTTGTACTTTAAACATATATTTTATATACATAATGTAAATTATCACTATTGTTTTACTGTTATATTAATTAACGATTTGCTTGTAAACAGCATTATTGCTGATGGCCTCCTTACCCCTTCAAATACCATTTTCTAGCATTTTTGCTTTCATATGAATACTATTATTTTTATTATTTTATATTCTTCAGTTGTTTTTTCTGTAAAACACGGAATATAAAATTATAAGCACAAAAGTTTATTCTGACTCAAATTGTAGATTTAAAGTAGATTTATTATTAAACCAGATAAATGTAACAAGAGGGAAAACGGAGTCGCCGCGATCAGTGGCGATTAAAGGGAAGCTGCACTTAGAAAGCAACGCGGCGCTGCGTGACAATCTGACCTTTCCACGAATAAACGAAACCGATTCAACGGTTTGTCCAGATATTTATCGTATCGTTTACAGCCGTATTGTGTGTGTGTGTGTGTGTGTGTGTGTGATACGCCGGTAAAAATAAATACCTGTCATCGAGCTGACAGTAGACAAATGAATATAAAGATAGCTTCTGCCGAATTTCAACGATCGTCATCGTGTCTCGCGAATGTCGATGAGTCACGTCTCTCGAGAAACGAATACTGTATTATACACGTGGACTCGAATTATGAGAAACAAGAAGAATAACGTTACGCATTAGCGCGCCGCTACGTGTCGGATCGGATCGGGATCGATAATGCCATCCATTGTGCGCGACGTCTTGTCCCGCACGAATCTCGCAAAATTGCCCCCCCCCCCCTCCCTCTCACTCGATCTCTCTCTGTCGCCGGAAGTTGTGAGCGCGCGTAAAACGCACACCTGGAAGTGGCGCGAGGAAGTGACGCCTCCCACCTGCATCAACGGGATAACACACCATGAAAATTCGCGTTTTCACGGCCGACGCGACGCCGGGCTCTCCTTGGAAGTCGCGCGAATCCGATCGCTCGCTCGAGCGTGTCGAATAATTTTGCGCGCGGAGCGCATTTAGTTACATTTCTTTAGAGGTGCGCTGACACTGACAGTTCGAGGTCACCGCGAGGACGCGTTTTCGCAGACGGTCGTACGTGCGGATAAGGTCCGATTGCTGCACTAATGTTATTTTGATTTTAAGTAAGATTTGAAACTTTCTCCCTCGAAATTTTAAAGAGAAATAGAAAAAGTTTTGAGTTTCGCTTGAAGTTAAAATAACGTTGCAATCGGATCTATAAGATGTGTATCCCTCTGGCTTACGTGTACCACGGGTGAGAGGAAAATGTCACGCGAACACGTGGTTTTTTTCTCCTTTTTTGTATTAACTTCGTCGTCAAACGACTTTCCAGCGTGAGAAAACCAGCGAGTTTCCTTGCCGGGAAGATTAATTTTTCCATTACATTGATTTAACTGCTGTTTCCACGAGGATTAGCTCATTCTAAGATGGCAAATGAGAAGAGAAAGATTACCTGGTATTAATGAGTAATGACATTGCGATAAGAGAATTATGAGACTCAGGAAAAGAGTAACTGCACAACTAAATCTGCAAAGACTTGCACGAAGACTCTTTATGTTGGCACTTTGTGGCCAAATTAGAGGGAAGATATTTGTAAATGTCATTCTGCATTAATAAATCTTCGCGATAAAATCAACTTTCTGATGCTCGAGATCACACTTTTACGTTTCTATTAAAGGCACATATTGTTATAGAAGTGTCTCAAATCAGGTGAAATCGTTTTAAAGAGGTACTTAGATATCCCGGCGGCAAAAAAAAAAGATAAACCAACTTCTTGGCTACGCAAGATCACACGCAATTAAGATGCCAAGCGACAGGTGTCAAGGAACTCGCACTACACCACTCGCGTGCAAAATGTCATGTAAGAAATTAATTGTGAGAAAAGATGAAAAGATATACGGGCACATAAATGTACGATACGAGTTCACGGACTTCCCATGACCAGAGAACCGGAAAGGTGAAGCGTGAAGATATGATAATGCTTTGTTAACTGTAAACTTTTGTTAGCTGCACCTCTCTATTAGCCGCGATGTAAAACATCGTTGATGCGATCCGGTCGAGTTTCACCGCGACTTAATTGACATAATTGAAATAATTGCATAATATGCGCTAATACGCAGCGATTGAAACCATTGTAATTTTAGTAAGCTCCATTTCCGCAAAAAGGCGTCTTCTGCCAAATTGTCATCTGCTTTCATTGTCCGTGAATAAATATAAAGGTCATTTTCGTATGTCCAAAAGATTTGAAAATATATTTAACAAAATTCTATCGGCTGCAAACTATATATTCTTTATGTTCTAAGTACATATTAAAATCTTGGAAAAGAAAAAGAGGTATCTTAAAAATCCTACTAACATAATGATTGGATCAATTTATCAGTCTATGAAACGTATTATTTTAAAGTTAATCTGTATACTGTATTTTAAAGTTAATCTATGTGTCAAATAAAACTAGAAAACATATCTGTCCCCGTAAAGCTTTAGAGTGGCGTCGCATGAAGCGCCGTTAAAATTGTCTGTAATCACGTGGGGGGTCTCCTCCTCGGCCTTTCATTCTTAACGAGCGATATCCTGCGACGATATCCTTCAGTCGTTTTACCACAGAGAGACACCGTTATCCTTAGCAGGCACCTCGATTACTCGTGGCCTCTCAATCACGCGCGCCGTGCGATTGCCTTTCTCGACGATCCCGATGATCCACGCCTGCCTGTGCTCGATCTTCTCCAGGGCCTTGCAATAAGCGGCCGCTTGTTCTCGCGGCAACACCACCAGCAGCCCTCCCGATACCTCCGGCATCTCGCCCTGCAGCAGCGGCAACATGCTCCCCGTAATCCTCGCGGTCGCGCACATCCTCGCGATCACCGGCATATTGTGGATTGTGAAGCCCACGTCGTTCTTCTGCCGTCGCGCCAGGAGATCCGCGTGGCCCAGGACACCGTAAGGCCCCACCTCACACGCGGCGTGAGCGTTATACTGATTCAAGGATTGATTAATGAATTACATTCCCAGACGGTTTACCTTCACGCCGCTAAGATCAAGGATGAAGCAATAATCGCGTAATACTCGACGATCGGATATTAATTTTGATTAATCGTAGGCAGTGATACATTGGTAAATCATGAATAATGCTTATAATTAATCTAACTGATTTCCGTGGTTGTTTCGCGTGATTTTTTTTTTGTTAAAAAACTCGTAACAGAATTCAATAATTATTCAGCATAAGAAGTCCTGTGTCAATTAGATAAGACGCTTATGTCTTGCGTACTATACGATTTAACAAAAATTTCCTCACCCGTCGAAACAACTAAACTAAACTTTGAGATAGCGAACCTTTCGCATGAGCATAGCGGCGACTTGATTGGTCCTGATCATAGAGTCGACGGCTCGGGAACGAGCTCTCTCGATGCTCTCCTCGGTGATGGTCAGCATTAGCTTGCTCTTCTTCTCAGGCTGCTGCATCCATTCCGATATAGTGAGGGCCATTGTTGTGCCGAGAGGCTTCGTCAGCACTATGACATCACCGATGGTAGCATATACCGGCTGGACTATCTCGTAAGGGTAGCACACCACCGTGGCGGTTCCGCCGAATAAACACCACGGATTTTGGAAGACTTGACAGTCCTTGACGGACGTGCCCGCCGCCTTCGCCGCGTCTATGTAGCCCTGTAACGTCCTGGACGTCACCGTCTTCCTCTCCTCATCTTTCATAACGTTGGAAATGCCCAGGATCATCCTGGTGCTGGAACATCTGGCGAGGCCCATTGAACAAATGCCACCGAGGGCAACGGCGTAAGCAATTTTGCCCATCACATAAGGATCATCGACGACGGCGGGAATAACGTTGAACGTCTCTACCAGCATCATGCCGCCGATTTCGTCCAACCTTGTCACGCGAGTGTCCTCGTCGATGCACATTGGCATGTCAGAATTCGTTTTTTCATCCTGCGTGTATAAAGTGAAGATTGCGGAACTTTTATGGAAGGCGAGGAATGTAACGATCTGTATATCCTTTTGTTACATCACTTGTATGATATTTCGTTAAATATAGTACAATGTAGCGAATAGAAATAAATACAACTTATAATTGTCAAATTGCAAGAATAGTAAAATAATTCGAGTCAAAAAATTTTTCTTGTCATTGAGAATTATATAGAATTATAAATACTTTGACGAATGATACCTATAAAAAATTTTTTGATAGGTAAAATACTCATTGAGTGCATCCACATAAAGAACGTATAATTTTTTTTATAAAGAAATATTATCATGAAAAAAGATGACAATTGACAGAATTATTTGGCGCCTAGATAATTTTTAGCCTCTTCTGTTGTATCTTTCTTTTAAATCATACGAAAAAATCACCTCTTTTCCATGAAAGAGATCAAGTAGCAACTGTCTCTCCTGTTGTTTCAATTGCAAGCTCTTTCTCAGCGGATCGCCGAATTTCGTTAATTGGAAATCCGCGGGGAGTCCGTGGCTCTCAGGATCGAAAGGAATCTGTACGTTGTCGCAGAGAACGTCGAGGAGTTCCAGATAAGTACTAATGGTACGACCAACCTCGCCGTCTCTTTTCGGGCTTTTCGTCACGGTTTGCGTTATCTCCGACATACTAGGTGGACTTGATAATATCGCGAATATGCGAGATTCACTACGTGAATGCGCGAGTCGTCACGCCAGAAAACAATAGAATAACGATCAGGTCGAAAAAATAGTGGAAAAGCGCCGTTGAGCGCCGTTGACTTCGCCACCGACGAGATATTATTAAAGATGGACCGATCAAAGGAAAATTTTAGTGATTGTCAAGTGGGCCCGAGAATAATTGAAGAACGATGACATTACCAACCACTTTGGCTGTACTGAGGAAACACGATTGTTTTCGTGACCAAATCTATGACTATATAAAATATATAGTCAAAGGACCAAATCACTATTTTATTATAGACAGTAAAAACTTTACATGTTATTTTTCAATTTTTGCAACGTTTGCTGTACATATACACATATACGTACAGCAAACGTTGTGAAAATTAAAAAATACGTGTATTCATACAGCAAATTGAAAAATGTTGCGAAAATTAAAAAATAATATATGTATAATGAATTTTTCACTATCGATAAAATAGTGAATTGTTATCTTCGGTACAACTAAAATGGTAATGTCATCATTTTTTACCTCCGAGCCCACTTGACAGCCACGAAAATTTGCCTTTGGCCAGTCGTCTTTATTTAATATCTCATCGATGACTTCGCCGAACATACAATACGGAATGTTATTTGATGCATACAAGGTGTGTCGCAAAAAAATTTCCTCAAAAATTTTCGATTTAAAAAGAAGAAAAATAATTTCATTTTTTAATCAGACTACTCTTAATAGGATTTTATATTTTTTAAGAAGGGTTAGTTAGTATATTTAAGATTAATAAATAATTCAATTTACGTTTATATTTATCTGATTAATAGTTTCATATAATTTATATATATATATATATATATATATATATATATATAAAATATGTATATACATATATAATCTTCTTAAAACTATATTAAAATTTAATTTGATATCTAATGTACAGTTCAATATTATATTTTTTATTTCTATATCTGTTAGTTTTATATTTAACTCATAAATAGAATATAGAATCATATTAATAGCAAATGCTTCCCTTTTTAGATGTTATGTAATAAATTTAATATTATATGAACTAATATGACAAAACGGTAGCCTGTGTGTGCGTCACGTATAAAAATACATGTATGTATATACATACATCAAGAGACACGGTAACGTCTCGCGCCAATTTTATTTTATCGATAAGTATATCCTGTCGTGAGACGCTACAGCGTATCCTTGACAGGAATAAGAACGCTTTTCTGGAAATATATCAGTTTTTTTTTTATATCAATGTCACCGAAAAATATCGGGGATATAGTAAGCTAGAAATTTCCAAAGATTCGAATACGCTAGAATACCTCGATAAAATATTGTGATATACGTCGAGCATTAAAAAAGTCGAACGCAATCAATGGACTGCAACTGGCACGATCTGAATTAGAATTAGAATTTACCTCTATTCAACAGCATAGTCCGGATAACCCTTATGTAGACCTTGCCGTGCTTGGTACGCGCCACGTGAAAGAGGAAGTCCGAGAGATTACCGTCTCCCTCGTGGATGTCCGTCCTCTCGGCGAGGACCTCCCGGAGCGTCGCGACGCGTTCCTCCGGCGTGCTCTCGTCGGGCGCGCTGAGCCTCCTCTCGAGATACTCGACCACCCCGATGTCCTCCCAGAATTGCGGCAAATCAGATGCATTCTCTTGCAACGGAGGGTTGTTCAGTACCGTACGTTTGCTACCGGAATCAACGAGATCGCTCCCGGTCGCGCCAAGACCGGCGTACGAAACGTCCAGCGCGAGGCTATTGAACATGCGGGTGGTAGAATTGGCGCCCCTCTCTCTCGAGGTCGACGGGATAGCTTCATCTTGCAGATAAACAGGCGAGTGCAGAGGACTCGGGGATGCGTCGCTGTTCGCGCGGAGGGGAGTCGAGCTGTTCATGACCTTGACATGTCCCTGTCCCACGAGATTTGGGGGACTGCAAAGCTCGCGCGAGCAACTTAATACGAAATGGGAGTTTTCTCAATTGTGCATCTTGACCTTGCGACTTGGATATTTTTCCACTCCGTTAGTCCACTGTCTTTATATATAATGTCGTCACGACATTATTGTTATAAATATATTTATATAAAAACCACAGGTGCAATCGCTCAGTTTCTTCAATCGTCGTTTTTCTCAAATCGAAAGTTTTGTATTTTACACTATCGTTTGCAGATTCTTTGTTTCGGACAACGTTGTCAATTAATTACTAGTTTGGCACGCATTCCTTGAATGTGATACAAAATCTTTTTTTTTTCTGAAGAACTTCCGCTTATTGTTCGATATTTGTTATCATGTTGTTCTATACAAATGTCCAAATGTGTATTATTTATGTATCGAGAAAGCAGTTTTTATCTCGCAACGACATGTAAAAACTTATCCTGGAGTCTAAAAAACCTATATATGTATATCGTAAATTGCACTTTCTTCATTAAACTGTTAAACACCATTGCACTTTTTAATCGGTGGCACCGCCGGTACTCGCTCAACTCGATCGCGAATCGGAAATGCAACGATTTATGGTGCGAATGTCAGTTCTTTCTCTTTCCGGGAAATCAAAAATTAAAAGAAATACGTTCTAAGTTCCATGAGCGTAGTAAGAAAAAGCAAAGTATTCTAAAAAGGAAATGTAAAAAATAAGAATTTATCAACTGTTTAGATAAATTGCTATTGTTAAATATTTAGAAAATATATAAGATTTTTTATTAGTAAAACATACGTTTTTATCGCAACAATTTCACGTAAGAGACGTGAAATTCTTTATATTCTTTTTTCGTATTATTAATTAATAAAATAATACTCGAAAAATCTAATGTTACATAAGTTTAACGTTTGAGATACGCGGCGCACCACAATGCGATAAGACTGAATACTTGCTCGATTTATAGGGATTAATGAGAACGGATTAGGAATTCGCTTAATAAGTAACATGAGCAACTAGTCGTTATTTACAAATCTAATTTGGTCGCTTGGAAGTTGGTCGTGAGAAAACGAACAGTATCTTACAATTCGCGAGAGGCCCCTACCCAAAGGATACGCGGCAGCGAAGACGTCGGTTCACGAATTAAGAATTCGCCCATTAATGCAATTTATACAGGGTGTCCCGAAATTCGCGAATCAAAATATCAAAGCAAGAAAGTCTTTGAAAAATTAAGTAAAAAAGTTATTTGTTAATTTTTATTTAAGCAGTATAGTTTTTGAGATATAAGAGTTTAAATTTAGCCAATTATAGATTACGATTAAACGGAAACATGTTCGTGAACACGTCGATAGTGTTAGTGGTCGCGCACTTCACGCGAATACTAATTTATAATTGGCTAAATTTAAACTCTTATATCTCAAAAACTACTGCTTAAAATAAAAATTTACAAATAACTTTTTTATTTAATTTTTCAAAGACTTTCTTGCTATAATATTTTGATTCGCGAATTTTGAAACACCCTATATATGGGACACCCTGTATATCGAATTTCATTTTTTATTAAATAATACATTGCCGGTCGCGCTATGCACGCGAGTGTTGTACATACCTATAGTTCGCGGCGTTATTGCAAATCGTCTACCGAAGTAGGTGAGAAAGAAAGGTTCTCTTGGCCGTGTAGGTGCACTGTAGGTGCACGGCGAACGTAGAATGAAACAAACCTCGGGTTATCGAATCGGAGCATCGCGCTATAGGAGTAATCGGAGTTATCTCGAGTCGCTGCAAGTCGTGCGTAATGTATTAAGGTTCATTTGGGTTAGCTTAACGGTCTTTGACAAATGATTACATTAGCTCGAAGCGTATATGAGCGTGCCACGCTGTTTTTAAAATTATTCTTTATTTTCTATTCTCCTTTTCGTTAGATTTAAATTATTTTAGATTACTGAGGAAAGCATTTGTCTGCACAGTCTTCACGTAAATACGATTGATGTGAGTAGCTTCCAACATAATAATCGAGATAATTTACGTGTTTCTTTCGGAAAGTATCGAATAATTGCATGATGTAACCCATATAAAACGATCCGCGATTGGAAAGATCTCGTTAATATTCGTGAAAGTAAAGAGGTTCCGGGCATTAGCAGCGAAAACGGATGTACTTGAAAGCTACAATTGCAAAGAGAAATAAGTATTACATTTGACCGAGCGCGTACACGGTAATGAACGATATCGGGTGATCTCCTTTCGCGCAATAATTTTCGGCTTTGGGAGATCGATCGCCCTAAATCGACGAAATCGTCCCGTCTCGGCGCTTTCGCCGCTCGAAGGCGGACACGCGCGAGTCAGTTTTCGGTGGATAAAATCGTTTTCGAAGCGATTTCACTACGCGACGCCACGAAATTCAGGGATAGCGGCGAAGAGGGTGCGAAGGGGGAAGGCGAATGCTTTTCGCGAATCCGCTTTCGAGGCTGCACCGATCGAAATTATACTTACACGGGAGCAAGCGTGTATCACCGGCGATTAAAGTAAAAGTATAACAACGTAAAAAAAAGTCGTTGCCATCGCCAGGTTGAAACTTTTGTCGGATGTACCTCGCGCGTTTCGTCGCGATCGTCGTAGACGAACGGGACCGATTATCGCAAACGATATACCTAACGCTATTAATATTAACACTAATCGTTATCGTCGCATCTCATTGTGTTGCAATAATTGCTCGAGCAACAATTTGCGCGATAAGTTAAAAAAAAATGCGGAGGACGAAAAGAAGACTGGCGATCGTTCCGTCCGATAGAAAAACTTACATATGGATAGGATATTCGTGCACGGGGAAAATTTATTCTCTACCTCTTCTGGTAAAGTGTGTCTGAACGATTTAACATCACAGGTCAACGGTATAGTTCAACGGCATTCTAAAGATAGTTTTGAACGATGTAGTCCGACGATATCCGAGAAATAAAGTCAACTGACAGACCGAATGAGTATTTGTACAGACATTAAAGTGGAGCATCGGAAAGAAGTTACAAAAGAATAATTGCAGAAGGTATAATATAATACATGTGGGGACGTGAACAAAGAACGTACATCTGGCTGATTTTTATCGCGCATACGTTTA